GTTATGCTGGGCGTTGTATGTCAACTAAAGCTCTTCATCATTGCCAATCCACAGCTTTGTCATCTATCTGTTTACTAAACTCGTAACAGATTTTCAAGAGAGAACTTGTTGAAGCACGCCATTTACGTAATTTGAAAGGATCATCTTTTCTCTTCCCCTCTCTCCCTCTCTCTCTCTCATACTTTCTCTCTAACTTTGTCTCACTCATTCATTCTTTCTTCATACTTTTTGTTCTTCTGAGCAGCTGGTTTAAGTTTCGAAAATCAGTCCAAAAGCTTACATTCTATTAAAGCATATTCACACCTTATGCATTCTCCTACAAAGGATGCAAAACACTTCTTTTTTTCACTCCAGTAACTTGAGCTTATGTTCTCTTTCATTTCCAATTTTCTTCTCTACCCTTCTGCAGTCTTTTTTTATGTTTTTTTCACCCACATCTTACTTATGCGTCTGTCTGCCTGTGCAAGGAGGTGGAGGGCATTCTGTTTGTGTATTGCTTAGAATGTAGATCATATTTTTCTGGTCTTCGTTTTTTTTTTCTCACTGGCTCACTTACGTACGTATGTATCAATATCAGGACATACAAGATGTTACATGCTTCTTCCTCCTACTAAGTATCTCAATTCTTTCTCTTCTACACTCTTTTTTTTTTGGTGTTGTATTTGAAGTATTCTTTTATTCTAGTAATATGGGATCACGAAAATCTATGCCACAGGAAGTATCTCTGTCTTCTCTCACAATCCTCATTTGAACTCATAAATATGATTCTGGAAATCTGCAACTTGAGCTTACCGTCATCGTCATCACAAACCATAAGACCAAAGATAACAAAGTCATGAATGTAATTAGAAATTAATATTTCTTCTAAATAAGGCCCATTATTCAGTTAAAACACACCAGTTTTCTATTTTCTTTTTTTACAATTCTAATTGAAGAATTAACAATTCATCTGTAGTCTCATGCGTTTGTTACACATTTTTACTCAAAAAAATGATTATTTTTCAAATCTTTTTTCAATATTTTTTTCTGTTTTCATGGAACTTTGCGTGTACTTCACGTGGAATCTCACATCGCATGGTTGAATGCGTTCATTTTTATTTTATGCTCACCAAATGAACGGTTGCTTCTCACTTCCTCTCTTTCAATCTCCATTTCTTCCTTCCTTTCCCTTTCGTTCACTCTCTCTCTCTCTCTCTAATCATTCTTTGTTTATCTCTCTCTCGCTCTCTCTCTCTCTTTATGCCCCTCTTCAGCACTCTTCCACTATTTATTAAAATATATAAAATTAGGCTGAAAATCTTAATTGAAACTTCTGTATATCAATTGTATTTTCCGATCCAACTGCTTCTTCATCAACTAATTTCTTTGGGTTGTTTTGCTTTCATTATCACATTCTCGCACAATTTCTTCAATTCGGAAATCATCTTTATTCTGATTCTCATCTCCCAGCTGTCTTTTTGATTTTATTGAACAAGCGACCTGAACATTTCACTCAATCAAATAAAAACATTTCTTTCATTTAATGACGAGTATTTTCTTTCTTTCACTCTCCTCCTCCATCCCTCTGTACGTCATCTTTCTCTCTATCTCTATCTCTCTCTGCAGAAGCCTTTTTTTTTGCTGGAAAAATGGTTAAAAAAATTTTATTTGCTCGTTCGCTTGTTGAGCATATCATCCTTATCATGATCCATAGGAGAAAAAACATGAAAATGACGTCTTTATAGCACCTACTTCATCTTTAGCACTATTATTCTCTCTCTCCATACTATTCTTGACTCAAATACCCCTGAGGGCAACAATTGTGTTCGAGCTGTGAATCGGATAATGTGTCGTTGAGAAGATCATCTTCACAGAGAATCCTAGTGTTCCCTTTTCGTAGATTATCTTGAAGCATGTTCTGTTCTGTGAAATATTTGTTTCTATGCATGACTGTTCGGTTTGGTGGGAGGAGGGTGGATGCTATGAGGGGTGGGGGGTTTTCATGTCTATCTCTTCTTCTCTCGCCCTAGCTGCTACTTGCCCCTTCCGCCACCCCCTCTTCTCTTTTTTCAAGTTGGATCTTTGTCTTGAAATCAGTTTTATGTAACATTTTGATACATGTCAATACTACAATTAATTCATTATTTACTCTCTCTTTCTCTCTGTCCATCTCTGCATCTGAGTTTGTCCACAAAAGGAAGGGAAAGAAAATCTCTGCCCAATGACAGTTGCAAATTTATGGCTTTTAAGCTTTCTGTTCGAAAATGATTTAACTTATTTTGTCCTTTAGCTTCAATTCACGAATTTCATTTGTTTTTTCCTGACAGAAACATCATTTCTCTCTATACAAGGTAATATATAAAGTGTATAAAGAGGGTAAAAAGAAGATGGAACTTGATGTAGAGAGTTACATTAGAAAGGAGGGGGGGGGATGTTGGAGGAGTAAGAATGGAAAAACGGAAAGGATAGGGTTCGAATGAGAGACTTGACGAAGGTGTCCTTTGTGCCTGCTAGTCAGCTTTTGTTCTCAAAATTTTCGAGCAAAAAACTTAAGTGAATTCGTTTTAATTTTCATGTGTGCCTCAATCTCATAGAGCCAAGATTCTCTTCCATCTTAGTCATTCTCCAACTTAACAAATGACTTTTCGTTCTCAAATTTGGCTAATATGTCTTGAAGCTCTGCTTCAAAGCAAGCTTAGTTCGAATTTTTTGCGACCAAAAAAAAGTTTTCTGTAGAGAGAGAGAAGGGGGGAGACAGAGAGACGATGACGACGGAAATTTTCCTCTGCTTTCTCAAGTCTTGTGCTGAGTGCCAAATAGAAATTATTTTATAATTTGTTTTTTTATTCACCAATGTAATGAAAGATTGTATTGTAAAAACAAGTTAGTGATAAGATGACTCAGACTTTTCTAACGATGCAACAATATAAGAAAAAAGAGATTCAAAGTCATGCGAACGATGCAATAAGCTTAAGCGACGATAATTTTGAATATCCTGTGTCTCGTCGAATACTTTCTTCTCATCCTTTCCATACATTTTGCTTCTTTTTCAATTCAATTCATCTTAAAAAGAAAATTCTGTCCACACACACACACACACACACGCACAGATCCAAACTCTCATAGCTCAAAAACTTTTAATAGAGCTTCGTCTGTCTTTTCAATCTATTTCAAGCTTTAACTTACCAACTTTCGTGTGCCCCGATTTCATAGATTTTTCATTGGAAATATCCGTTTTTGTTCATCTGTTGGTTTTTCTCACATAACTTTTGCAAGTTTGCGAGTTCGTCATCATCAAATCCAGCTTTAAACTAACTGACCGCTAAATATTGCCGTAGGCACATTAACGAGCAGCCAAAATCAACGTCATTTTTTGTTGAGATTGAAGCTGTGATTTGAAATGTAAAAAACCGGATTCGTAGGTTTCGTAAAAAAAAATTTTCATTCATTATTTAGTATTAATTAGGATAAATGAGAGCAGAAGATGAAAGTTCAACCGATCTAAGCAGCTGCTTTTATGAAAATGAAAATGTGAATAATACAAACTTTCACGTGATTCTCACGTGAACTAACCTATATTTAAATAAAAACAATACATGCTGCCGAAATGAAAAACTTATCAGTCATCGCATTTATACGTCAGCATCCCTAATGAATTTTCAGCTTAACAAGCTGAGAATCATATCAACCCATAACTATACCTGCGCTATAGTCTTTTCGTTTTCGAACTTTTATCAAATTATCTCATTACTATTCTTCCTGCTCCCAATCAGTATTTGCCTGAAATTCCAATTTTGAATTCTTTTCTCTCGTCGCCATCATTTCGCGTTGTCAATTGTGCTCATCGGCTCTTCCTGTTATCCGCCGTAGCGCTCTGGATATGCCGTTGCAATTTCCGAACTCTCTTTTTTAAATTTTTGTTCTGTTCATATGAAGCCTCAATCTGACCATTGAGCATTCTTATGATTTTCTCTCTCTCTATCTCTGTGCCTAGCTCTCCGTTTGTAGCAGTGGTTAAGGCCGTAGGCGTTACAAAGATGGAACAACTTGATGTAGCTTGATTCATTTTGTTCGTTTCAGATTACTGCTCTGCCAGAAATTTGTGTGAACATCACCAGTGAACCACCTACTATCATGTTTTTTCCCTCCAAAGGCAAACCTAAAACGTTTTTTCAACTTTTTTGATGTCCTTTCCTTCTGCGAGTTCCTGGTCTAGACAAGTTCACGCCTTACTTGCGCCGACATGTCCTTCTAATCTTCTTTTTTTATTTTTTCATTATTTTCCTTTCAAAAATCACAGCTTCCTTCTGTTTTTGAATCTTAAAAGGAATAAGCTGATTTGTCTGAAACTTCTTTTCCACATTCACGAATTCTCAATGTGGGCGGGGTTTGAAGAACTTAGATATTGGGGCTAGAGCTTAAAGCCTATTCTGAGCTCCTCCCTCCTTTTTGTTCTTTACCCCTTCTCTTTCTCTATTTCTCTTTCTTTCTATCGTCCTTTTTCTCTCTTTCTCTCTTCATATGAATTCGTCTTCTTCTGTATTCGTCTTTTTGCTTCTCTTATTTTACCTCTTTCGATTTCATTTGTGAGCAATTTCTTCATGAATTGCTTTGAATCTCATTTCTTCATTTTTAATTATGCCTTAAGCCATTTGATGACGGTATGGAGGCTGGACAACTCATATCACTTCATCCGTTCATCGGCTAATTAACAAACCTTTTTTGGGGGCGCCAGTTTTCACAGCAGCTTTATAGTTTTTCCTCCTCTATACTTTACGTGAACGTTCAAAAAAGTGCTTACAGAGTTGAAATAGTATAATCAGCTGGGTTCTCGACCAGTTTCTTTAATTTTTTTTGTCAACGTCATTAATCACATCAACCATAAGATCTGCTTATGTAATCTTATTTCAGAAGAATCGAAGCAGACTCACCAACGACAAACTCGAGATTGTTGAAATCATCTTCTCCGCTACTTTCTTCAACTCTTTGGTTTCAACGAGATAATTTAGTCTGAATAGGATATGTCCGCAACTTGTTTGGGCTTGGATCGCAATCAGACAAATGATGCTCGAGATTATTATAGACAGGTCAGTTAATATATTATTATATCAATATTAGAATCATGTGCCTCGTACTCATATGAGCAATCTGCCCTTAGGGTATGAACTACTTGATGACCATTGAATCCGGCGAACTTCTCATAAGTGCTGAGTATTTATTTTTCGAAGAAAGTTTTTCTCTTCTCAGCTTCACCATTTTTGGTCACTTAAAGAGAAACTCTCTCTATCTCTCTTTTACTATCACCATCTATCTCTCTCTCTCTCTTGCTCTCTCCATATTAACCAATCTCCAGGTCCCCTCTCACTATCCCATTTTACCCTGTATATCTTTCTCTCTCCATGAAGATATACATAATATATATTGTAAAACAAACAATTTCATTATAAAAAACTTTCTAATGAAAATGTATTTTCACATGCTCTTAATCCGATCTGAAAAGGAGAGAATTAAGTTAAAGCTTTACATGTTGTTATCAACTTTAAACTTTATTTTTACTTTTCATTTTATCTTGCAGTCACTTCTTAAGTCTTAACATTCGATGAAAAAAACTTCAATTCTGGTCGTTCATAAACTATCAACTCTCTATTTTGAACAAACTTGCATGGTATATCCTTCACGGCTCATATCATAAGCTTAAAGGTCAGATAGATGGAAGATGCAAACAATACTCATCAGATTATCTGTTGAAATCATTCCTTCGAACATTCATTTGACAAACAAAAACAAAATGAATAAGTTCTTATGAGGTATGCTAATGATAAGGAGTATGAGGATGAAGGAAGAACATCAGTCTAGACTAGCAGACAGTGTGAGATAGAGAGAAAGAGAGAGAATGCTCATCCTTTTCATATTCATCCCCTCCATGATTGGATAGACAAGAAGAGAAAGAAAGTCTACATTTTAGTTTCAACTTTCTATTTTATTTTTTGGTTTGAAATTGATATTTTCAACAACACTAACTTGTTCCATTCTTCATCCATTTTCTCTTGAAGAGCTTATTTGATTTTCACCTTTTCCGTTTCTTTTACTCAAAATGTCTTGTTTCCATTCAGCTATAATTAGGGTTTATCTTATTTTTACTCAACCCCCTTCCTTCTTGTCTTCTCTTACTAAAGGACACAAGCTTCCTCTACTTGCATTTTCGACAATCAGGTTAGCTGCCCTCTGCCGAAATGTGTGTATTGAGCACATAATGTGTGAAATATTTACATCTTTGCATTTAATTGTATTCTACCTTACTTACTTTTTGTATCTCACCCCTATTGCTAATCTTTCTTTCACCAATTTCTACTTTGTAGTCGGGCTGTGAATCATGCACGAACGTCGTCACATCGCTGACTTTGTTTCCTCGCCACTATCCACCCACAAACCTTCCAACTTAGTGTCCGAGAGATAGAATACATCAGCTTGCTGACCAAACTTAGCGCTGACGACGTGTAGTGAAGCGCGAATGAATGAGAAACAGCTAGCGCCGTCAAAAAATTATTTTTTTCTCTTCCCTTTCCTGAAAGATTTGAATGAATAAAGAAAATACAATAAGATTTTAAAAAAAATTGGAAGATGAATGTCCAAAATCAACAAACAAAAAGTAAAATAAATACAAAATAAGATTAAGGAATAATATATGTGTTAGTAATTGAGATTGAGATATAATTATATCATATAGTTATATATATTGTAAACAGATATTTCATTTCCATCTCACATTACAAACCTCATGCAACAGAATCTCTATGAAAGCGGAAATGATAAGAGAGCTCAATCATTTCCGTGTTGCTCCGCCATTCAGATGACAATGATGAGATGTGTTTGTGAACGTTAAAGCAATAGCACGTTCAAAGTAATTAAAACAAGAAATTTGTTTTGTTTAATGAATTCTTGAGCTTCTACAACACCAAACTCAGAAATAGAAAAACTTATGTTATTTCACATATTCCAATAGTTGAAAATGACCAAAAACATATCCTTTGGGATCTCAATTTTCGAAGCAAAAATGCTATTGAAGAGCTTTTTATAGTAAAAACAGCTTTTTTCATAATATTTCTTGTGGTAATGACAACCTATACATGACTAGAAGTGAGACGAGGGAGAGCTTGCAGAAAGAGAGAGGGGGGTTGTAAGACTGAACGCAAAATGAAACGAAAAATACAACCGGTCACTAGAGTCTGTTAAATCTATAATAGTTTCTATGAGGATAGCCGCCACGTAAACACACGCATGCCTATACTCACGTGAAATCTTGCACACTCGACGTGTAATCAAAATATATAGTTAACATGTGAGGAATGACGTATAATTATATTTCTGCATCAACATCAGACAATAGAAGTGTTGCAACAATACAATACAATATAAGATTGTAGGAGGAGATGATGCAAATACATTAATATCTAATAAGAAGAATTAATCAACTTAAACGATATCATACTTCATTCTCTCTTTTATTTAAAAAATTTTCTTCTTTTTTATTTCATTCATTAACATAATGTATATGAATATATAATATATATATATATATTATAATTAAGATATTTCAGGTTCTGTTACCATTTACACAAGTTTTCAATGTAGTTCATGGCTATGCTTATATAACTCTTTGTATTTTGGGTGTTTTTGCCAACATTTCAATTGTTGTTGTATTACTACGTCCGGCTATGAGGTCAGTTTGCTTTAAGATGTCTCGTTTTCAAATATGAATTATCTTCATATTACTCTTCATTTTGTTTATTTTCAGAAAAAGCCCATTTAATCTATTTCTGATAATGATAGCTGTTTGTGATGCAACCTTAATGGCAACCTATCTCATATATAAACATGTACGATCTATATATCTTTTTATATATTAAAAATAATTTTAATAATGATTACAGATAGAATTCTGTCATCCATTGTTTTTTACTCACACTTTCATTGTTTATACGAAATTTTATGCTGGTTTATCTGTGTTTGTACATAGTACAAGCCTGTGGTTAACTGTTAATATGGCCATTCTAAGGTTTTCATTTGAATACGAATATCATTCTGTATATATATATATATATTCAGATATCTTGTTCTTTATCGTGGAAGTCGATCATCTTCACGATTGCCACCATGTAATGGATTCCCAGCTGCTATTGTAGCTATCGTTATTGCGACCATTATAGCATTTGTTGGAAGCTTCCCAAATATGCTTCGTTATGAGGTATTTTCATGTCATACTCTTATTAGAAAAGAACTTTTGAACTATTTTTCGTACTGGCTTAAAATCGTTGGCGTAAAAGTACATGCGAGATGCCTAATCCAATTGTCTCAAAAAGCTTCTCAATGATCTTTTTCACACTTTTTTTACTAGTTTAATTCGATTTTCCGTTGTTCGATAATATTTGGAATGCCATTTTTAAATGAAAACTATTTTGAATAGTTCATCTAAGCATTCCTATGTTCAGATAACAATGAAAGACAAGAGGAAGCTTCCATCAGATTGTCTGATTGGCCCATACGCTCATGATTGGACAGCTAATGATGAAATTTATGAATACGGCCTAGACAAGCCAGACTGGTATGGCTGCCGATGGGAAAGGTTCAATTTCTGGATGGCAGGTTAGCTCTTCGTGTTATAACCTCAGTTACATCTAATTTTATAGCATGGGTTTTAAAGCTAATACCTTGTATATTACTTACTGTGTTCATGACGCTTCTTGTGAGGATGCTTATTGAAGCTCGTGAGAGAAGATCCAGGCTGTGCGGGGGCATGTCAACCGGCAACTCACAGGTAATCGTCCAGCTACAGAAATCATGCTCATGAATTAGGAAATTTAGGCAGAACGAACAACTGCCATGCTAACAATCATAGTGGCGGTTTTCCTGATAACTGAGTTACCGCAAGGAATTATTGGTTTTGCAGCAGGTAGGCCTTCCCATTACTTACGGTTCACAAGGTGCATCGGTTTCAGGTGTTAATCCTCGACTTATTGTTCTAACATATCATTTAAACAATTTCTTTGATTTATTGTCACTTATAAACAGTGCTGTCAACTTTGTTCTCTGCGCTCTCATGTCTCATGTCTTCCGGAGGTAAGAATGTGACATCAACATGAAATATACTGACTTTATCAGAGAATTCCTTCTCACTTTCGCATCGTGTTGTCCCCAGTCTAGTGAAAGTCACAGCGGTGCTCCAACAATAACCACTCATTCTAGCGTACGTCAAGTACTATCAAATCTTAATTTCATTTTACACCTTCTATATTTTAGATGTGGAACTCACTAATCTCGAGAATAGGCAACAAAAACGGTTTTGTTCAAGTACCCACTGCTTCTCCAGAAGACAAAGCTCAATCGCTATGAAAAAATATATTTCTATTTGGAAACGAGTCGTGATAGTTTTTCTTGTAATGCCGAATAAACAACACATTTTGTTGAAAAAGAACATGTATTAGAAAAATCCAATAGTAATAGAATAAGATTTTACAAGAAAAACACAAAACAGGGAAACAGAACTTAGAATACCAAAAAAAGCAGAAAAAACTGCAAAAACTAATCTACAGAAACGAACTTAAATTTTACAACCTTCACAAAGTTGTCATGAAAAAAAGAACCAAAACCAGACAATTCTTACAGAAAAAAAATAAAAATAACTTCACAACCAACTAAACCTTGTTTATACAAAATCAACTCATTCACCATTCTTACGCATTAATTCGAAAAGAGGCGAGTCGTGAGTTCCTCAGACCCAAAAGATCGCAGTAACGATGATAATCCTGAGAAGAGGAAGAATCGCTAGAACCTTCTTCGACGTTGTTCAATCTGAATATCAAATTTTGAAAAAAACCAAAAAATAAGCAAATTACAGATAAGCGGCCAAAATATCACGACCACGCTCGGCATATCGGTTGGCGATATACAATGGAGCTGGTAAGCTCACAGCGCTGTTGATAATTTGATGCCCATGGGCAAGCGCAAATGTCATTCCTTCCAATTCGTTCATTGACATTTCAAGCTCATCATAGAGTACCGTATATCTTGGCGTTCTCGCTGTCCCCTACAAAAAAAATATTTAAAAAATAAGTTTCATCAGATTATACCTGTAGAGTATTATGAGAGTTCAAGAAGAACTCCTTGTAATGAGGGAAAGTGATCTCCGAATCTACAACAATACCACTCCTGATATTCTGCTGTTGGGGTTTATCTTTCTGATTAATCTGCAAGAATTAATAGAATACACGGAAGTTAATTTTCGCTTACTCTTTCTAACATTAATCGAACATTGTGATCCTTCAGAACAACAATGAGAACAATCTTACACTGTTCGCTAGCCAACTTATCCACAGTTTTACGTAGAAGGGGAACTTCATAACGAAGTATCTATAAACGGATCAGTGAAAACCAGGAAAAGATGATTTCAATACGTCAGTAAAGGAACCTTCGCCTACACCATTTCTATAAACGATAAACTCTTCAGGAGTAGAACCCTCGTGATGAAGTTTATATCTTTCCATACAATTCTCCACAATCAGAGAGATTGAAAGAGAAGTCTGCAAAACAAGAAACTAAAGCAAGTATATTTTGAATCAGGTACCTCTTCACGATTACTTTCTTGATAAACATAATCTCCAATGAAATCGATTGGACTTTGCTTGAAGTTCCCACAGAACTGAAAGTAACTTGTACGAACATGTTGATAATAAATAACTAACTCCAACAACAGAGGGTACTTTTCCTTTGCTATCAAATGACCGAGGAGCATGACTAACGGCAATTCCAATAATCAACCTTTTAGGTGACAACCAGTCACTAGAGAAGTGGGATTAAAAAAAATATCTAGAATAACAACTACTGCGATTTGTTGCCCATATTAGTCAGGGAAATATTGTAGTTTATTCCTCCGAGTTTCACATTCGTCTTTTGTACAATGTTTTGTAACGTTTGGAACTTCCCTTCTTTAACTATTTTGAATGCATTGGACATTTTTACATCTTGAGTGATGATCTCGAAGTCACGCTCCCATAACTTGATATTTTCTAAGAATTAAAGTATAAAATGTAAAATGGTTAGAAAATCCAACTATGAAGATTGAGAAGATTATCGGCTGTGATAAACAAAATGTACTGACAGTTTGCATCACTCGCTCTCTTCATGGCATCCTTGATTTGATCATCGCGTAAAACCTAACTTTTATACTTGAGAAGAACGTTACTTAACAACACACCTTCATTTCTTTCGGAGATTCGAGAGCAACACCGCCAGCCATTAGAGTTCTGTGGAATTTCACAGCAAATTCTCTGGAAATGAATGATTCTTATGAACGAATAATCACAAACTTTATATCCTCAGTTCTCATAGAATAACGACCTCCTTCCGAATTGATAGCATAACAAGCCCATACTTTGCAGGCACCAGGAACGAAATATTTCGCATTTTTGTCTGGTCGCCATTGTCCATATTCATAAGAACAATTACTATTTTTGAACGAGATTGTTGGTCCTGGTAAAGATCGGGCCCCAACCTTCATATAGTATCAGTGATATAGCTAATTAAAATACAACTGACCATAAGAGCTCCAGGATAAACTTTCAAACCGGAGTTTGCGATGTATTCGTTTCCAGGTGTTCCGTCCTGATCCGGAAGGATTTTCAAACTCTTACTACTTGTCATGATGTTCCCCTGGCGTGTTGCAGGAGGTATAGCACAACTCTGAAACAATATGAAGCTTAAATATAGTGTATGAAATCTTACTCTTGTAGTTTGCTGAGACTCGTTAGGTGTTTGCTGTGGAACAGTGACTCTCTGTCCTTCTACAACATCGCAGACCTCCATGGGGTAATAGTTCACGTTATTCCTCTCCTTGGTACTGATCAATGGGAAGTCTGGGTGTCTAAAGAAAGAGCAATGCAAATTAAGAGTATGATTATCATATACCGTAATTCAATATCGTATTTTTGCTTGAAGTACTCCTGCACCGTTATGTTCTTCTCGTCAACACAGATGCTGGAACAAATTAAAAGTTTTTTTACACTTTCGAAAATCATACTATGCGGTTCTAGCCGACAGCTTAGCAACTGCGGTGATTTGAACTCGTCGTTTGCGTTTGGAATGAGTGAGAGAAACAAAGAGTCCTGATAAGCTTGATCTTGATTAGTCTCGCTGGTTAACTACCTCTGATGATGTGATTAAGACGCTCTATTGTGTGTTCATTGAATTTTTCTTTGCCCATAATTATTTCGACCTTATCCAAAAGTCTTTGACTTTCGTGGAAAGAGGCTTTTTTAGCTAAAAAAAATACATTTCAAAGATACAATTAAAATGAACTAACCGTCTATGACTATACAGGCATTACTATAAGTTCGTCCCATTGGACCCTCGATTTGTCTTGTAGATTTTTGACTTCCAGTCAGCAGCCGTTTACCATCTCCAACCGTGGGGCAATCTCTTTCAGTCATGTTGAAATGCCATGGCTTCCTCATGAATGTCTTTCCGTTTTCGAAAACCATATGAACATCTCTGAAAAGGTGGAGATTACTCTGGACATATCTTTGAACTTACGGATTCATAATGGCATACTGGTTCAAAATCAACTCCATGAAGTGAGCATATTCCTTATTCACTTTACTCAAATCATTATGATCGTAATTTTCAACGAGATTTTGAGCGCTGAAAGAAAACTGAAAAGGAAACCCATTTATTCAGCTGTAACGAATTAAACATTACGCCTCTATCAGTTTTTGAGATAGTCAAAATACAGTTCAATCCTTCCAACTCCTGACTATCTGTACGCTCTCCAGGAACTTCGAGATCAATTTTTTTCTGAAAGACAATATTTCTGTATATAGAACTCTACTTACCTTCTCTCCAGTCAAATTTCTTTTAGAATATAGAATTGACTGACCATCGTACCAGAATTCATGAAGGTTGCTACCAAATATATCTTCAAACATTCGATAGGCAGTTTTCATGATACTAATACATTTGCCTCGGCGATCAGAAACGATATAACTATAATAAGGTATTAAACACGTAGCAGAAACAAACATTACTCGTCTTTGCCTCTTTTCGTGAATTCAACTGTTCTCTTTGGATTCAGATCAGCTCTCATAAAAACATGATACTGGTGAATATAAACGGGCTCATTTGTCACTTCCAGCCCAAAAATATTGGTCTGAATTCGGACAGGTACTCCCAAACTTCCAGGTTCAAGTGTTTTGGCGCAAATAGGAGCTGTTTTGTCAATCTTAACAGAAATCAAATTAACCTATCCACTATCTTTCCATCCTACGTTGAGACTCTTCAAGCGGCTTTCAAGATCTCTCACAATCTTTTTTTTAGCGGTCAAGTTAAGCGTTTGGTCTGGAGAAGATGACGACATTTTTTCTCTAAAACAGAAATAGTAGCCGGCAATGAAAAAAATAAATGGCAACCTCGAGACGAACACCCCGAAAGGATAAAGTTAAGTTGAAAATTTCACAACACAATTTTTAACTGACGTAGGTTCTCAGTACTAGCTTACCTGATCTTTAAAAAACTGTAATAAATTCTAGACAGGAGACTATGCGCGGGAATTTAAACTATTGATGTAAGTGAAAACCAATTAAAATTATAATAAGTCAATCGATCAATAATTATAAGTACGCCTGAAAACGAATCCAGATGTGTTTACTGATACACCTATTGCAACTCTCTCAGGATCTCATTCTTGCGAAAGACCTCCGTGGTAAGTCCGTATGCTAATTTTCCGCGCAATTTTTTTCAAAATCTCTCTCCCTGGCGATTGTTTGTTACTAAAATTAAGTTACTTCACAATTTAGTAGGAAATATGAATTCTTGATACGATCAGCACGCAAATCTTTCCTTTCATGAATTATATTGTTGAGATCAGATGACAGCTGATTTCTTGAAAAGTTTGAAATGTTGGACTAAACCTGGTGACGCCTAAAATGTATAATTATTATTTCCGACATTCAGTAAATGCAAACACTTTATTAGAAATCATATACAAGCTTGACTAACTTCATTATTTTCAAATGACTAATATTTCTAAAGCTTTCCAAGTACTTAATAAATGCTTCGTGTGGTAAGCCCTACCTAGAAACTTTTCTCATAGAACTGATAAACTATATATTTTAAAGTCAAGACAGACGGTGGAGAGACGAAGCTCCATCCCAATCCCATGTTTCTCATGAAGAACTGAATAAAAAACTCACTGTCCTAGCGAAGTTTCTCTACTTTTTGAATTTTGATTATTGATTAATGTGTCAGAGAACGTAGTAGAGAATTGGATGAGTACTTGCTCTCTTTCAGTCGTTCCAGCAAAGTTGTGTTGAAAATAGTTCTATTAGGTATTCTATCTATGCAAACTGTTTGTGAGAAATGTTATTTTCAGGAAGCCCCAGTAGTGGCAAAAGCACTGTCTTCAAGCAAATAGAGTAGAAACAACATTATAGCTATTTGTAGAGTATATATCTTTGTTTCAGCTTATTATATCGAGACTCGTACATTCGTCCCGACCATTCTCACAGCTTTAGGGAAAAGATATATGAGAACGTTTTCATTATTTATAAGAAAATATGTTTGGCTGCTTCTGACTTGAACTTCTCCTTGGATATCGTTGAAGTGAGTTGGAAACGTTTGAGCACTTTTCCCTTTTGTAGACTATTATGAAAGATATAAGCGAGAAATCTTTTAATGGTAATGATTTCGTGACTAACATCCCCATGCTCAGCTCTTTGTTGCAACAGTTTTGGAAATCGACAATAGTGCAGCTGACGTACCAACACCGATACAGCTTGAATCTACCAGATTCCACGAAATAGTGAGCGGATCCTCACAGCAAGAGCTTCAACTGCTTTTTAGTTTCATGGACAATATGAATAGAATAGGCTCTCTCGATTATGAACCCATATGGGAAGATATATTGCGAATAAGAGAAGTTGTAAATCACGTGAGGACTGAAGTGTATCCTTTCGAGAGGATCAAGTTTAGGTTTAAATTTGACTTCATTCTCAACTTATCTCAAGTTTCCAAGAGTTATCGATGTGGGAAATCAAAAATCTTTACGGAGGAAATGGCTACATGTCTTTGATGATGCTTCCGTCATTATTTATGTGGTCGATTTGCTGAAATGTATCGGAAGTTATACAAGTACTTCCGATGTACGTTCTTAGTATGATTATTCATCAAAAACATGTTCTCACATCTCAGATAATCGACACGAAACTGACAGTGAGCCAGTTCGCGGATATCGTTCAAAACCGTTTGCTCTCTAATTCCACCTTTCTTCTTTTATTGAACAAATTCGACATGTTCCAAGACTTCATTAATACAACGATAGTCAACTATGAGCGTATGCTTAGCCTTTGCTTTTGTTCTTTAATTAAACCTTATCAGAACCTGAATTAGTCGAATTCACCTTTATGAAAATTCGGGAACAGTTTCTTGAAGCTGCACAATTCCGCAAACATGTCTACTCGCACAGCCTTGTGGCTGTCGAAATAGACGATGCTAAGGTTATTTTGACAATATCGATTCTTTCTGAATTTTACAAACATTGCAGAAAGTTTTAAATCATAACTTTGCTAACATTTTGCGAATCAAAGCAAAAGCTGTGCTCGTGTGAGATGAAAACGAACTATTGTATTCTGTTCATATATGTATTCGATGAAAAGCTGACGAAGAAGCCAGCCGTTTTGCCATATATTTTCACTGAGAGAACCTGCTCATCAAAGGTTTCATTTGTATATAAAACTAGTTATTGGATATATAAACGTTTATTTTATAATACTTCTCTGAAAATAAACTGATTCTCATAATAATTAACGAATTTTGAAGGCATTTCGGAGAATTTATCTCCATGGCGTCTTTTTCGTGTGTAACATGTGCCTCTTGCAGCTGCTTCATTGGTCTTATCAATATATGTTGAATTCTATCCATTTTTTATGAATTTTTATTCATTTTCTCAGAAATCAATGATGTTTTTGATACTCTCAATTCATTCAATGAACATTGTAGAGGAGTTATTGATTGTTTTTTTTCTGCAATACGCTAACTCGCGTGGCTTAACTTCATCAGTGAACGCTCACGTTGCATTGGAGTTCAGAAAGATAGTGATTACGAAACAAATTTCTGATTACTTTGGTGCATTCTACCTTTTTTTATTCAATTCTATGGTCCCTCTATGTTTCCTCTTCGATATTCTCTGTTTTCTTCCAGTCGAGCTCCTTCTTGTTTCCACATATAGATCTCACAATCAGTGCTCCGAAAACAGGGACCGGTCAGCGAATATTCGAAGCTTGTTCGAGTGTTTATTGTGTCGCCGATGGGGCGGAGAGTCCTAGGTGTGCTGCTGCATGGGCTATGCGCAGTCATCATATGAATTCTAGGGCAAGGAACGCTTTCGTTACGGCCCGATTTCTTCCTTTCTCTATCGATTCAACAGCTCACCATGTCGTGTTTCTTCTTGTTTTCAATCATATTTAACTTAATTTTTTGTCAATTTTTATTCACGTCTACGTAAAATGGTAACTCTATTGATTGAATTTTATATTTGTACATTCCTCTTATCTCTTCTCTATTCGTGCTACACTTTCATTGTATTATATGCTTCCTCTTTTTTCTTTATTAAAACGAGTAGTTCATGGATACAACGTGTACATTTCATGCGCTATGACGTTTTTTTTTCTCATTTTACTTTATCATTCCGTTCAGTACGGTTGTTCTCTCGTTTACTTTTCATTATTTTTTTTCCAGACAATTGGAGTCTTAATGAAACAGTTTTTTTTATTATTAACATTAGTTAGTCTAGTGTTAGGACAATTTGACGATTCAAGACCATGTTTTTGCAAGAACGGTGAAGTTGTTGAGCCATGTACTTGTGCCACTACTAGCATAGACAAAATCAATAATGATCTCGTTTATGAGCATCTACAAGCTCTTCTCAAAAAAGATTTCTTTAGGTTTTATAAGGTAAATGACATTTTCTTTCACTTTCTTATCGTCTTCCAGGTTAATATGGATAAGACTTGTCCATTTTGGCCAGATGAACGTCAATGTGGAACTCAACAGTGCGGTATTGCCTTTTGTGATGACGAAGTTCCTCTTGGCCTTCGACGTCCAGCAACTGTGACGACGGTGCGTCTGCCTAGGGTTACCGTGGCCGCTCATCATAATGAGTCCGCAATCACAGTGGAGACTTCTGTAGTTCAGGAGGGTTGCATTGCTAAGGAAGAGCAGAGTAACTCTTTCGATCCAATGGACCGCACTTTGGAAGAAAGTGAAATGAAACAGTTAGAAGAAATGGATACTTATGACGATCTTAGTGATAAATTCTGTGAAATCGACGGTAGGTCTTATCTTGTTTGTCACTTTACGGTTAAAACAAAAAGTTTCTTTTATTATCGAAACAGTTCCTGCAATTGTACAAAATATATATTCCGTGATTTCAACATATACTGTTTAATCAGCTGTTGTTGTTGCAGCATATATCACGCTTTTATCCAATATGGACATTTTTAGATTTATTTACTTTCAGATGAAGACTCCACAGATGTACATTATGTTGACTTGTCTAAAAATCCTGAAAGATATACTGGATACAAGGGTAACTCTGCCTTGAGAGTATGGCAGAGCATATACCAGGAAAATTGTTTCAAGTAAATCACTGATACCGTTCAGTTGTTTAATGTACTCGTTTCAGACCAGACATGAAATTTGATAAGAACTTCCTAACAAACCCTAATAATTTTGGTACGTTGTCCTTTGTTACTCTCACATTTAACAATTTATTTTTTGTTTAATATGTTGCACTATCCGAACTAACAACATAATTCAATTTTTAGAAGGTATGTTGGTTATTATTTTGGAGCTTGGTGTAGGGTAATTTTCGGTTAAATGTTGTGTTTGTTACTGTCTTTTCTCCCTGTTTCTCAGTCTACCCGAACACTCAGTTTCCATTTCAATTATTAGTTTGCCAATTCTGTCTTAATGTTTTTCATTTCTTAGGACTATGCTTGGAAAAAAGAGTTTTCTACAGACTCATTTCTGGATTACACTCTGCTATCACCATCTCTATAGCTGCATATAATTTTAAAGAAGGTATTTTTGTTTCTCAGAATCAGGTGGAACTAATCTCTGTTCAGCTCCCGGTGGTTTCGGTCCAGGAACTTGGTATCGTAACACAGAAATGTTTGCTGGCCGTTTCGGCACCAAATGGAGCTGGGAAGGACCACAAAGGTTTCTCGTGTGTTCGTTTCGTGTAACAATTTTCTCTCATTAAGATTACGTAACGTTTATTTCGCTTATTTGATGGAATTGAGAGCTTTGATCAAAGCAGCTCCTTACTTGAAGAAAGAGTTATTTTACACTGGAAATGAACAGGTATAAGATTTTCCTTGCTGCTAATCTATTGTTATGATATTTATTTAAGGAAGACTCCGAAACCAGAGTTGCTGTTGAGCAATTATTGGAAGTTCTTCGTAAAATGCCAGATCCCTTTGATGAGCACGAAATGTTTACAGTAAGTTTCTTCCTTAGATACGATAGCTCTATTTCTCAATCAGGGAGTCGAAGCTCAAGCGAGAGAGCTGAGAGAAGAATTCCGTTCTCACTTCCATAATATATCTCGTATTATGGACTGTGTTGAATGCGATAAATGTAGACTGTGGGGAAAGGTAATGAATATTCTTCCAAGCGTATTGTAACTCTCTCTACATAGGTGCAAACTCATGGAATGGGAACAGCTTTAAAAATACTCTTCTCCGATTTACCTCATTCCTTATATCATGTTAGTGAAGGTTCTGAAGCAAAATCTGCTCCTCCATTCCAGCTAACCAGGTATCCATTTTTTTCTGAGCCCTTGCATTGACAAGATTATTTCAGAAACGAAGTTGTTGCCTTGTTCCAAAGTTTTGGGAGATATTCTTCTAGTATTCGTGAAATACATGAATTCAGGAAAGATATGGTGCCTTACCTCAAAGACGAGCTTTAATCACTTTTATTTCTTTTCTCTTATATTATGTATACATCTTTACTTCTGATAGGCAACTCCTGTGAAGCAGCACTCAATAGTTTAGACTAGACTTCACGAAAATGTTATCATATCCCTTATTTGTCCAGTGTCTGACTATCGCGGAGTAGGCTTCATTCTTTTCATTCGTTATGGGTTCTTATTTTACAAGACCGGCTATGGTCATTCTGTGATTTTATGTGTACATAGTTGAGATCTTTATTTCAATCTATCTAAAATATGTGCAATTAAAGTTTAATAATAATAAATATTCATAGTCCTGTCCCTGTGTTCACAATTTACCAGTTATCAACCGTTCAGCTGCTAAAATATGACATACTGCAACTTCGTTTTGACGCGTCTGTGCAACATCAAAGTGTTTCCGACGTGTTCTAATCTACCGGGTTATTTTCATGCCAACGTCTCTTTCCGAAACGTGCGATCAAAAACTTTGTACGCAAAGTATAAATAAATATATAAGCTGAATAAAGCAAGTTTATCTAAAATACTAATATTCACAGTATATTTGAAGAAGTATACATTTAATTGTTTATCATTTTCGATTAAACTCATTCAATCGTTTACTCATACGGTTATTAATACTTAGTCTTAAAGGTCTGTATTGATGGATATTTTGCATAAGGACTCACAATACTCTAAAGAGTGTAGCAAAAATTCCCTGATCTATAATAATTCGATTGAACAAGAATTTGTTATGAAATAGTGTCTTTCCACACAATAGACCGTTCTTAAATCTTTTACGAACACACAGTTTATTTGAAACCGAACCTTCCAAGCTAAAATGAACTCATAATCAACTCATCCTCACAAACGAAACAAAAGTTAGAGTTCTCCTTCATTCAAATCTTAATTTGATTGTCTGTTACACTTCCTTCCTCGAAAATAGTTAGTACTTCTCATTCCTTTACAGATTATATTAATGGATCCCCCTACACAGTTTTATGAAACCAACGACTCAGCTAGGCAAAGGTCCTCCACTAACCCAAACATGAAAACGGATGGCAAAGAATCCAACTTGCCCTTCGGAGACATGCAGTCTCAGTTAGGAAAAATGGTATTTAAGCAGTTCCTGATAAAACAGAGTCATATTTTGAGGTGTGGGAAGCTGGATCGAAGCAAGTCCAAGATACATTTAAGTCCTATGGCCGTATTGACTTGTTTCGTCCATATTTTGATGTGGAGCCTGCTGAAGTAACTTTAAAGTTTTGAATTCTTCATTCTCTCTATTCATCAGGTTCGGTCTCGTTTAATAAGATCGTTCATCCCGAGAAAACCATCTCAAATGGCATCTGTTCCTGATTTATACGGTCCTTCTATGATTGTCTTAACTATGGCAGCGTTACTGTTATTTAATATGAAAACTAGCGGGTATGTATCCATGAAGATATGTCTATGTAGTTACTTTTTAAGGTATGTTGTTCCAAACGGAACTCTAATGGGGACATCCTTATTTGTCTGTTTTGGTTCCTGGCTGGGTATTTCAGGAATAATATATTTCATAGGATTCCTCCTTAACACTGAAATGACAATGCTCAAACTCATCTCCGTCTTTGTGAGTTTTTGTTTTTATAACTTGTTCCATTTTTGATTTAAAGGGTTACTCGTTAACATCCCATTGCGTAGTTCTTTTCCTCAGCTCAGTTTTTCATCCTAGTCATGACCATATTTACTTTTTCCTTCTGGTTCTATTACTTTGCGCTCCAAGTGCCATCAGAATGGTAAATTTTCTTACATTATGATTCATAATCAAGATGTTTAAGGGACTGATAGTTTGTATGCAAGTACGAGTTCCTCAATATCGTATGATCTTAGGTGCAGTAGCTTGTTTCTTACATTTTGTTCTTATTTTCTACTTACATTTCGGTTTCCATGTAATGCTCGAAGGTAAGGATGAACAGTGGCACAAGTACAAAAATAATTTATTTCAGAGTTGGATCAAATGATTGAAGGTGTTGCTTCTGGAAAAGACATTCCTCAGTAAGAAATCGGAGCCATAATATTGTGATAACTTATACGGGGGTGTCATATTTATATAAAAAGTTTATTTTCCCCCATATATAATGATTGTTAATTCGTTCTCATCGAACTTCTTATCTCTACATCTCATCAATGTTATTTTATGTCGAAAATGTTCTTCAGAAAATGCAAGCTGCTGATCTTCCACAGCATTTTTTACAACATGACGACGTCGAAGAAATAGTTGAAGTGAGTTTTGTGTTCGATTATTTGTGTGTTAAACTACTTGTTTCAGTATGTTGAAGCTGTGGATGAAACAGGCGAGGCAGTCCATTATGAAGAATGGTCCGGTCAAGACCTAAAAGATGACATAAATATCAAACAGGAAATAATTCCCGGATACGTCGAGGATGATGCACAATATTTCGAACAGGAATATGAAGAAATGTAAACATTTTCTTATGCCAGATAATTGTTTTGCAATTTTGAAGGTTCGAAGAAGAAATTGACGTTGATGAAACATTCGCTAGTCAGTTTGAAGAAGCTCCCAGCTATAACGATCCTTATATAGAATTTCACGACTCAACAGCCTCAAGTTCTAAGTAGGTCTCTATAAGTTTTGGATATTCAGTTTCGTTTTGCAGAAAGTTGACCATTGTAGAATGTGAAATATGCGGTTCAATAATTAAACATCCTTCGAAAATTCAGGTTAGATCACAGTCTCAAAGATTACAAAAGTATTTTCAGGCTCATATGCGAACTCACACAGGGGAAAAACCTTTTCAATGCGATATCTGTGGTATGCGATTCACTCAAAAGACTCCTATGGTAAATCATTACAGGTTTAAAAGAATCTTATTCATGTTTCATTCACTTATGTGTTTCCAGAAAACATGTAGGAGATATGCCGTATGTTTGCGGATTTGGTTGTGGTAAACGTTTCGTTAATAATGCTCGTAAAAATGCTCATGAATTGAGACATCAGGGAATGGTAGGAATACCGTGATTTTTCTTCCTTAATTGCGATCTTCAGAAAAGACAAGGTCCGCCAAGGCCTTACCTCAAGCCGCCTCGGCGAAAAATAGGCACAGAAGTCAGTAATACGACTAAGATTGAAGCAAGTAGATATGAAAGAGCACCAGAAGAGCGATGTTCTATGATCGATTGGTATCCTCCTTTTGGACAGTTGGAGCAACCTATGTCAGCGGCTTCGAGTAAAAGGTTTGCTTGCATATTGGTCCAAATTTAACCCCCACCAAAGGCTGGATGAAGTTATTGAAGCTGTCGCATCAGGGGTTTCGATCCCTACTCAAAAGCAAGCCAACACTAGAGCCTCCGTAATTGCTCAATGTCATATTTGTGGTTTGATGGTGAAATATCCTAGTAAAATTCAGGTATGCGTTTAGATATTTTTCGAAATTGAGTGCTTGTTCTAGGCACATATGAGAACTCACACAGGCGAGAAGCCTTTTGAATGTAAGGAATGTGGAGCTCGGTTTGCTACAGCATCGCCATTAAAAATGCATATGAAAAGAAAGCATCTAGGTTTTTAATTAGTGTGTATATTTTCGTGAAGATTGATATTTCAGAAGAACGAAAAATTCCGTGTTCTTGGGAATGCGGAAGAATGTTTGTGAGTATAGGAGCAAGAAACGAGCACGAGCGCATAGTTCATGCAGGAATAAAGAGATACGAGTGTACCGCTCCAGGTACTCGTAGAACTAGAGTTAGGAAGGAATAAAGTTTTTAAGGCTGCCGAAAAATGTTTACCAGACGACAGTATTTGATGCTTCATCGAATGAAAGATCATCATATGTATGCACCTGTTTTTGATCCGAATGTATGATGTTCACGTCAAACTTATACTACGTTTTCAATTTCCAGGAGATAATCCGAGCAGAAGTAGAAGATCAGAATGCTTCAACTATGATTCACGGAGATAATGGAGATTATATAACGGAGTATACAGAGGTTTTTTTGTTTGTTTGTTTGTTCTGATACTAATACTTTTTGTAGGATGATCAGTTTGAACAGGACATGGTAGACATTAGTGAGAATGGGTTGCTACTTGTTACCCAGGATACCTCAAACGATTCTGATTATGTGGTGGTAGAAGGAGAACAAGTTCATGTTTGTCGATTTTGCAGAAAATCCCAGGAAATCATCGTTTTAGGAAGAGAACGAGTTGTTTGTTAAAGTTGAGGATAGTCCCCAAAAACCTACCGCAGATACAGAAATGATGAGATCAGATGATGCATTGTTGAAAGAAACAAGTTTAACCAAACATTTAGAAGAAACAGTAAAGGTATTGCTTTTTATCGGAAACTTCCATACCAAACTGAGTTTCAGCATGTGTTAGTGCCGGGGAAAGACGATCAAGGACGGGTTATATCAGTTCGAATTTTAAAAAGAAGCTCTAAGAAACCAGAAGTACTTAATATAAAGACAGAGAAACAGTGATCTGTGTTATTTTTTGAAAATAAGTTGTTAAAAGTTTTTACATGTTACAAAATTTTATACAGTTTGATATATATATATATATATATTTTTTTTTTGTTACAAAGTTGCGGGTTTTCATATCCCACTGTATCGTTCTTGTTGATGTATTTTTCCTTTTTATGATTTTATATTTTAAGATCATGTCGTTGGCCTGCAATTTGTGCCCGTTTAGGTGCTATACAAGGGATGTGTCGACTTTAGTTGATGAAGCCAATAACTTTTGCTGCATAGATAGATGTTCTTCGTTTTTCAACAGTCCCTCGAACTTTTGGGAGCATCTTCACATTAAGCATGGAGCGTGAGTTCTGTATAAGATCGAACAGCAATCATACAATATGATTAAGTTTCAAATGTAACCATTGTGGGAAAATAGCTTTACGCATGTTACCAACTAACGCAAACATCAATATGCCTTCATCTTCTAACGATTCTGAAAAAGTTTGTCCCGTTATGGTCAACTCGTATAAATTTATATTTTAGACATCTGTAAACAAGAAAAGAAAAATTGAAGTCTCAGTAGCAGGACCTTCTAACCCTGCAGCTATTGTTAGAACCCTTCAAAATTTCACTGAAGCTGGGCCGTCGGGGCTTCCAGAAGGTGAAAACTCTCGTTTTTTAAATTTAAAATAACCCTGATTCAGTACCAAAGAAGATTCGACGGTTTCATGATTTGCTTATGGAAGGACACAAGGTTTGGGATTTTACAACATATGAACAGCTGAAATCCTATCTCAACGAGAAAAGTGACGATAGTATCATAGCTATGCTAGTTAGGTTAGTCGTGTCATCGTCTTTCCCGTCAAAATCATGGTGTTTTAGGTCTGAGTTATTAGTATCTAAAAGATCTTGTAACAAGTGTGGAAACCCTATGAAGTTGAGATCAAGGCTAGGATCATATGTAAAGAACAATCCAACAGTAGAGGTTTGGAAGCTCTGTCATAAACTTCTGATTATCTTTTTTTGCTTCAGTGGAGATGCAGAAATAACAATAATGGCAAGAAAAGAGACTGTTCCACTCAATCTTGCCGAAATGGCTCCTTTTTTGCTTCATCAAATAGTAGTTTGCAGACTCAGGTAGAGACTTTATTCCAATTGAAAGGTATTTTTGCTGTTTGTTAATTACTCATGTAAAGTATTTCAATAGACAATTTTATTACTCTTGATGGAACAGTAGTTAGTTTTTCGAGTAGTCCTCTGGTTAAGCAGTTTTCTGATATTTGGATCAAGTTCCTCGAGTAAGTCAACTTTTTTTTCACTTTTTCATCTCTTTTTTCAGTCTCCATAATAGGGAAGAGCGCATTGGCAATATGGGAATGCTGGTAGACTTTTTCTCTTTCCCTGCACCTCAACCATCAAACGATGAACATATTATTGTCATGGTTGAACGAAAATTCAATGGTAGAGCAGCAGCTAGAGTAAACTTTGTTTTGAAGACATATCAAAATAAACAATTTTGAAGGTTATACATGGCGATCCACGCTCGTATTCTCAGCTCAACGAATTTTTGTCCGAGAAAATGATGGATGGATCATACATAGTTCTAGACGAAAGCCAATCATATTACTCGGACTTGATCCATAGATGCCGAACAATAACCTCTTCAGTTATCAATAGTCCGCAATTTCAGTAAGTTTAATAAATGTTTTACTATTAGTACTTTACCTTAATATGAATGCAACCGCTCCTTATGACAGTTGGAGGATAAAATGACTCCATATTGCTACTTCCTTGTTCTATCCTAAACGTATTCAGATCATCACATGGAGATGCTGCTCTTCCATCGTATATTCAACAATGTCAATTTCTGATAACAACACTTTTGAATACTCCTTATAGATGTCCCATGACAGAAATAGTTCAAGAATCTATTATAAAGTTTGTTTCTAACCATATATCTAACTCACTGAGTTTCTTCAGATTCAATAATAGGGACAGTCTCACTAAAGTGTTTTGGTCACTTTTATCCGTAGACGGAAATGTGTTCTTCACCAAATCTAGGAAAACGTGAGATCTAGCTCTTCGATGTTATGATAACAATTTGTATTTAAGGAAACAAGAAAATGGCAATGTTTCACAGGTGCCGCAAAGTTCATCCATGTTAAATACATTTTTAGCCTTCCATGGATTGAAGAATAATCTCTAATAATAATAATAATTTATTTTTCGACTGTTTTAATATTGAATCCCCCCCATTGTCTATGTGCTAAATTAATTCATTGGTTATTACTTACGGGTTGAAATGATAAATGAGGGGAATAGATTATTGAATTTTCATAACATGGTTGATCAACCATCTTTAACTACCTGTTCATGATGTTTTTACTCTCTGATCGTTTCATGTTTAAGATGTTCAAAACAGAAGAAGAAGAGCAAGATATAGGATTTTTACAATATGAGCATGTAGTGAATTCGGATAACTTAGAAGTGATGTCAACTTTTTAAATATATTGATGTTTGTTGTTTTAGGTTGTAGAAGAAACTTTAGTGGATGTAGATAATGTTGAAGAGGTGATTGGTAGTTCAGATGGATACAACTTCGTTGATATGAAGGTATGGGAAGATTGTGAATCAAGTTATAGTAGTTCTTCAGGAGAGCGAACCCGTTTTTATAAATACTGTACAGAAACGAAAATATAGGATGCGATCAAGACCACAAGCAGCAACATATTATTGTACAATATGTAACAAACACTTAAGATATCCATCTAAAATACGAGAACACATGCGAAAGCATACAGGGGAAAAACCTTATGCCTGTCATATATGTAGTGCTCGATTTTCTCAAGCTCATGTGCTCAAGGTGGGACGCAAAAATGATTTGGGTAATGCAAGTACATTGTTTTCAGGACCACTTAAGGTCTCATCAAGGGGAAAAACCCTATAAATGTTCATTTTGTGATAGATGTTTTGTTTCGATAGGACATAAAAACTTACATGAGAAGGTACTGAGATATTACTTTTAGGTAGAAGTAATTTTCTTGTTTTTAGAGTCATTTCCGACGACCAAACGTCGAAGTGAGTTCAGCGCAAAGCCCTTCTGAAGGTAGTGTAATAAGCCAAGTTTTTATGTGTCCAGTAGAAAATTGTGGCTTTCAAAACAGTATTGGACAAGTGGTAAATAGTTCTGAGCCTCAGCTTTTTATAAAAACAGTTCTAAAGGTGGAAGAGCATATAAATATGGTCCACTGTGGGGATAATGACTGGACAGACGAGTACATAGAAACTGAGTATGACTGTGAACAGCAGCAAGATCTCATACAAGACGATGAATATCATTATTTTGATTATGAGATGAAACCAATGACAGAGCAATCAGCAGAAACTAATGCTGTGTATGATAATTCGTTCTTCTGTCAAGAAGCTGTACCTCCTCCTACGGAAGAAGTGGAGGTAATATTTTTTCAAAGACGATTTTTTTTCGAACAAGTTATTTTCGATTGAAACAACGTCTAGCTTACTCAAGCAAGAACCTCCAGATGAGTCATCAGTAGTAGAGTCTGTCGAATATTCAATTGAGGGGTTCGTATAATTTCCTTCCTTCTCAAATTATATAGTTTTTTTTAGTCCTTCCACTTACGAAGAATGCGCCATTCTTCCCGGCTCTGAGAGAGACGAGGAAATAATGTTTGATGGAGAAGAAAGAGTTCGTGTTTGGATTGATCCTCATCCTCCAAGGAAAGGAAGACAAAATCCAGTGGCTCCAAGCGAAATTCCGGTTTATCTATTGTTTATTTATAACATCTTACTCAATTACTTTGGTAGGCTATGGAAGAAGTCGTCGTTGATGCTAGAGTGTTAGAAATGGTGGCTCCCAAACGATACCCAGCATATGCGAATAGGCCATCTCGAGCCAAAAAACCGGCTCGAAATCTTGATTGGATAATTGATGCTGTAGCTAAGGTTTATAATTAAACAAATTGAAAACAAATTCCGGAACACGGCTATTAAGGGACATGATGTAGATCTCGCTTCCCCTCATAACAGGAGAAAACCCAAAGTACATGTGTGTTTGTATTGTGGTAAAACCGATAAGTATCCCAGTAAAATTTTGGTGAGTTGGACCACCATTCCGTTTCTTGATACACATGCTCTCAGGCTCATCAGCGAACTCATACGGGAGAAAAACCTTATACATGTGATATATGCGGAATGGCTTTTGCTCAAAGGACTCCGCTAAGACTTCATATTCGGAGACACTTGAACCAAAAACCGTATGACATATATTCCCCTTCTTGTGGAACTGAATATCAATTTGTAGATACGTTTGTTCTTTTGAAGGATGTGCCGAAGAATTTGTTTCCGGCGCTCTATTAAATTTACATATGGAAAAAAAGCACCTTAAACGGCGGAAATATGTTTGTATAAAAGGTTGCGGAAGGTTTTTTGCCTCAGCTCGTAATCAAAGATACCACGAAGAGCGTTGTTTATATAATAAAGACATTGATACCATTTACCAGGACTGCCTTTATGATGGCCAACAATCGGTTAGTTCCTAACAGCGTTCAGAATATAACAAACTTGAGTTCAGGTGGACCGGCCAAACGTAAGCTACGTCATGGATGGGTTAGTAATGACGGATAATGATGTCGACACAGTCAGTGGAAATGTGGATGGAGAATATTTCGAATGAAATACGTTCCTAAATAATAATAAATATTGTTTTACGCCTGAATTGTTGAATCGTGATGATGAAGAGAGAAGACTTTGCAAGTTTAGCAAAGAACCATAAGTTCATATATCGAATGTTTCCAAAGTTTCTTTGTCAGACTTTGAAACTTGTCTTGGAAGTTGTGTTTTTATAAGTTCGTACGACATGTCCACGACACCTTGGTTTGACTGTCGAATGAGTGTCGTGGAAAAGGGGGAAGTTCTTCATAGGCCACTTCTACCTCGTCGTTGGAATCGTTCCTTTTTTCCCTGACACAACAAGGGCAGACGTTGATGATTCGCAACAGGTTTCTCTTATGATCTTTCCATTCTCCATCAGGTTAATGTTATTTTGCGGGACGAGAAATATAAATTGCCTAAATACTTACCAGTCTCCGCTATGATCTCTCTCAAATCATGCTGTGTTTAACTTCTTTCTTTCTCTGATGCATCATCTGATAACTATCTGTTTCCTCTCCTTCCAAATTCTGATACTGTCTGTCAGACACCTTAAGCTATTGCTGTGCATTGAACGGGGTAGCCCTATATAAGCGGCTCCGTCCATCATGTGAAAACATCGGCTGTTTTCTCTGATTTTTATTTTTTTCAAAAAAACAGAGGAAATGTTTCAAAGAAAACTTTTTTTTACATATGTTCTGACACTTTCTTCAGTTATGTCTTGTTGCATTGCATAATTTTAACTTCCTCAATTAAATTCTTTTCTCTTTTCAGATGACCATCCCAACAGCTGATGTGTTAAATCACTACCAAAAAGAGAAACCTGAAGCAGCTGATAGCGTTGAAATTACGCCAGCCAAAAGTATCTCCGGAAAAGTTGTGAGACGATCTGTCTATTCCATTTACATAATTCTGATGGCTGCTTCCGGAATTATTCTTTACTTACAACCATGCGAGACAACTTTATTAATTTTTCTAATTTTACACTCGCTCATGATATTATCCTTCTACTTTCTTGTGCGGCTCGTTTTATGCTCTCAGAATGCGAATCTGATCGTGACGTTGTCTGGACTTCGTTGGGAGCAGCATGAAGCTAATCAGTCTCCTCTTGAGTTTCCGGCAAAAATTCAACAAAGCCATGGAATAATAGGACGAGATCATCTGAGCTATGCATTCATCTGATTCCACATCAGGCTGTTTGATCCAGAAGCTGAAAAGCAGCAGTTGATCTCGCATACGAAACGATCTCTGCCCCTTCCGTATTGCAATAGAATTCGTAAACAAACTGTTTAGTAAATACATAAATATTTCATTCAACTTTGTAATTATGAAAAATGAAATTTTTCAGAACAAATTTTACAAATGTTGAAAAAAGAAAAAATAGTGCTGAAGGGGTTCTCAGAGAGTGTGCAAAAGTGAGATAGAAACAGACAGAAAAATGACTGAGGAAGTGAGAGAGTGTCAAACCGAAAGAGAGTGCCAGACAAAATAAGGTCTTGTGGAGAGGAGGGTGACTAAGCGCGTTTACCATATCTTATGTTCTCATTCTAATTACTCTAACGATGTCCTCATGTATACCACATGACGTTACATTCAGCATTCACGTGGCACGTCGAACGGTTGCGTAGGAAAATATATTCTACTTATGCTATTTAAGTGTCTTTTCCTGGAGCAGCCGGAAGATTCTGTACTTGAAAAGATATTACAGAAGAGGTGGAGAAGCAGAAAGTGGATGAATGAACGGAAAAGAAGAAGGAAAGACAATCGATGAAAATAGAATTGTTTTTCCTCATTACAATTATAATTTATGTTGAACACAAAGTCCAAATTGCAACAGAATATTGTCTCTTTCTCTCCTTTTTTGTATTATGAAAGAGCAGTATCGCTCAATTTCCAGGACAATCTCAGTCAAGAGTTGTTATTATGAAGGAAAACAGAAAAAATCATATTTTAATCTCCTCAATTCTTTGAAAGAACAAAAACGGCGAATACTTATTGTGCTATGAATGAACTATAATTCTGATGAGACAAAACATAGGAACATATGATATGATGATGGAGAGAGTGCAGAGATAGAGAGATAGATAGATGTAGTAACTGAATGTATAGAGAGAGGGTCAAGTTTTCAATTTATCATCAATCACCAGTAAAAAGTATTACTTGAAATGATGACCGAAACACGGGTTGTGTCTGTGACTTGAGATGAAATGTCCTGGACAGGCAAGCAGGTCGTGCTTGTTTCTCATCCAAACTGACTATAGATAGTCTAACTATAAATATAACTAAACTATCTATTAATATATAATGTACAATTATACAATTATATTAAGATTTATGGAAAAAACAAGATATGCAAGAAGTATAACAAGAACAGAATGCAGAAATCCTGCACACAAGAACATAATGAAGACGAAGGGAGAAGGAGTAGGAGAAGAAAAAAATGGAATTTTCCTTCCTCCAATATTTGCCAGCTTTTCATGCATTTCAATATAATTAAAGCTATTCTATTGGGTGAATCTGAGCAATTTATCTTTGTTGAAACTTGCCTTCTACATGACGACATGGCTTGATGACAAGCTTTTTGGAAGAAGCTATGTCTTTCCTTTGCATACACGAAAATCGAAGACGAACCTCAATCAGCTTAAAGCCTCCTTTTGTCTTTTTTGTTTCTATGTTTTGTTTGTTTTTCGTTGTTGTGGTTTTCTTCCGAGTTAAAAGAAAAGCTTACAATCACTTGTTCTTCCCGACAGTTTTTTTTGTCTGGCCCCTCTTTTGATTTTTTACTCTCTCGTTTCCACCTCTAAATTTTTCTGTCTGTTTGTATCTCACTTTTGCACACTCTCTGAGAAACCCTTCAGCACAATTTTTTATTTTTTCATAATTTCTAGAAAAAATGTTCTAAAAAATGTTATTTTCATAATTACAAAGTTGAATAAACAGTTCCATAGATATGGCAAGTGTTGAGAAGAAGCCTCATTTGCATAAAAGTTGTGAAAACGATTTAAGACGAAGAAGTAGAAGAAGTAAAAAGGAAATCATAACAGATGCCTTTGTTTTCGTGTCAAGTGTGGGTGAAGCTTCAAAAAGACATTTAAGCTTATTAGCATGGCAACAATGACATAACGATATATGTATATATCTGAGAATAGTTAATAAACTATTAAGTTTTAATAGAAAAGATCTTAATTGACTTCTTTGTTATTCCTTTTGCTATTGCTTTGCGTCGGTTTAATTAAAAACTTTTTTTTTCTCTCTCAACTCTCTATGTTCATTGTTTCTTGTGGATGTTCCACCAATAAATCCTATTCTACCAAATAAGATGCTTTAAAATAATTATTTCAATCAATATTTTATATTTTTTCTATCAAAATCTCAAACTCACTCAGATGGATGTGTGAAATATTCATGTTCGTCTTCAGAACATCCTTTCAGAAAAAGTGTTAAAGCTTGTAATTTAAATATTCTTCTCCTTCAGCTTCTTCATGTCTACTCTTTCTTCTACTTTCGTTCTTCTCTCTCTCTCTATCTATCTCTCTCTCTTTTTTTTTCAAAAAATAAATAGAAATATATTTTTTTCTTAGCGTAACTCGAAATATGATTCGAAGCCTCCAACTTCCCATAATAGCATTGAATATCTTCCCATCACATGTTGTCTCAATTCTCTCTCTGTTTCTGTCGCCTTTTGAAGACATCAGCATCCTTTTTAAAAGTTCTAATTTTCCCTTTTTAAAACAATTTCCTTATTTGAATGAATAGTTTAAAAAATGCTTCAACGACTTTTTTTGTTTTTCGTGTCAGACCAAAGCTTCATGACTTAGGACTACTTGGGATGAAGCTCACGTCAGATCAGATGAATCTTATACGTTCCCATGGGAATCTTTTTCAAACTTCATATTCTTTTTGCCCATTTTAAAGTTTAATTGACGGTTTAGCAACGGACAAGCACGTGAATGTTCACGTGAATCACACTTGTTATCCTGGAAAGTGAATTTGATAGAGAATATGAAGCAGAAGAAGCCATTTTCATTAAAACCTCATTTTTTCTTATATTTCAGAATATCTGAAAGTTAAGTTGAAAAATATGGAGTTGAAAATGCTGGAAAAACGAAATATGACGAGGTCTTGTGTGAAGCTTAAATAGGAGAAATAGAGAAACAGATGGAAAGAGAGAGAAGTACGTAGAAAACGAAGTGAGAAGAGAAGAAAAGAGAGGCAAAAAGAGAGATAGAGAGAGAGAGAGAGAGAGAGAAAAGGAAAGCAATCGAATTGTTCGAAGAAGTCTTCCTACTTGAAGCTTTTACAACCTAAGTCAGTCATACATCTTCCAGCTTTATATAGTAAAGTTCCTACCCTAAAAGAATATTTTGCATAAATTACACTAATAAAAGAAAAAAAGAGAATAAAGATAGAGAGAGAAGGATGATCCTGACCATCATCTGATAGGAATAAGTTTGTGAGCAAGAGTGAGTAAGTCAGAGAGTGAGAGAGAGAGAGAGAGAGAGAGAGAGAGAGTGATAGAGCATCAACGATAACTCTTTTGTAATGAAAGACAATTAGCTATTGTACTTCATCTCAATCATCATATTCATCTTTGATTTGAGAATCAACGAGGTTCAAAACAAAAAAATTAAAAATTGTAATCTTTGTTGAACAGAAACGACAAAAAAAAACTACAAAATTCACAGAAACAGTTATGGTTGATGGCTGAGAAATCTTCACAATCTCATCGATGATGTTTAGTGCCTGAGGCAATAATTTTGGAATTTTCATTGTTTTTCTTTATCCAAAATTATATTTTCATACCCCAAAATTGTAGTGAAAAGGTATGTTTTAATTTGTTTTTTTGGATTCACAAAAACAATTTGTTTCATACGATTTCTTCTATTTATATAGAGCGAATATTTGAAATATTTTTAAAACTTAATAATATATTTTACAAAATATATAATTATGTGAAAATGCTTAAATAGTCCATTTTCAACGTTGAAATCCTCATTCCGTCCTTCTGCTGCTACTTCTACTTCATACACCATCTATCTACATCCATGCTACCAGAAGTGAAAAGGATGATGACACGTGCATATATTACTTGTCTCAGCTTTTCAACTTGTTATAAGCCTTTACAATTCTACAACCTTCTTCTACTTATTCAACCTTACCTATACTCCTTCTTCTTCTTATTCTTCTCCTTCTCCTCTTCCTTCTTCTTCTTTGATTTACGTTTTCACGTAATCATGTCAAAGCTCCCAGCATCAGTCATCACGTGAAACGTTTTTCTCCCTCTCTCTCCCTTTCTTAATTCTGCCACGTGGAAAGCTTGAACGACAACCTTTTTCACGTAAAGTTTTGAAATTATCCTTTTGTCAACCAATCTACTCGTCCTACTTAACCAAAGTATGTTTTGCCTTTCTCATTACAGATTTTTGATCCAAAAATCTTTTTTTTATTTGTATAACATCTTCTAAGCCATCTTTCGATCGTTCAAACGTTTTCTGCAAACTTTTCAAGGCGTTTTGCAAAAAAAAAATTCTTTCAGTCCACTTTATGACGCAAAAATCATCAGTTGACTTCGAAAAAAATGGAATGGAGAGAAAAAAAAGACTCAAAAAGTTCTTTTACCTCTGACATACTGATGTTGAAAGAGTTAGAATGCTAAGAATGACGTAAATGCTTTTCCTCGCTCAACTTCTTCCATTCCCATATCTTCTTCCTTCTTCACCCACTTCCCCACCCATACTCTTTTTCTGTTAACTTTTTCCAGAATAGAATTTCGACGTGGGCTGAGATACTACCACATTCTGACCATTTCTATTCAATCGCATCCCCTTTTTGAACAGCAACTATTTTAAGCTCAAAGGAGCGTTAAGCTTGAGTACGTCGAATGCCTTGATGATGACCTCGTGCGCTTCCGTTTTGTCACGAAAAAAATTCGAACAGCGATGGCGTATCTTCTTCAGCTTTCATGATTTTGTTTTCTTGAAATTCATCGAAGAAAGCTCTACTTCCTTATTTTGGTTATTTATTTCTTCGTTCGGTTCGGAGCCCTGAAAGTATCTCTTCTATCATGTCAAAAGAAGGTTCTTGTTTGTTTTTTCAATTCGCTTACTTCGAATTATCTGTAATCAGTGAAATAAGCACTTTATGAACTTTGGCTTGACTGAAATGTTTGTGTTTCAAAAATTTGATAAAGGATTGTCCTTCTCCTAACATTCCCATGACGTCAATGTTGGAAGGAATGAGGCGGAGAAAAGGAATGAAGGAGGAGTTGGCACGCCTCCAATCCTTTTCTACACCCCTGGGGCATTGACAGTCAAGTTGAAGCTTGACTTAACAGCCTTTGCTTAGGATATTCTCTTTCTTCTTTCCTTTTTTGTAAGCTCTATCCATATCTCAAGTAATATTCTTTTCTTTTGTTTTTTGAGTTATTCTGTTTCTCAGATTGAAAAAGAATAATTCAGATATATTCTCATCGTCATTCTGAAACTTTCTTGTTTGACATTGCCAAAGCTTTATCTTGTCGTTTTCCAGATGGCAACCGGAACCGTTTCTCCAGTCTCCAATAATGGTTTAAAGCTTATAATCTTTGATAAAGATGGCACACTCGTGGACTTCCATCGCATGTGGCTGCCATGGGCTGCCAAAACAGTCAAATTGTAGTTTTTTTGAACTTTACTCCTTACTTATTCATTTTAAATTTCAGATTAGAAGACGCAACAAAGCTTCCGGTAGGGTCTGCCGTCTATAAAACTTTGGGAGTTGATCCCATTAAAGGAAAGGTACGTGATTCTGTCGTTATTGAGCTACTAACCTTGGTACATTTGCAAAAATGACGAGATTGAGGGAGGATGATGTGATAGATGAAGAGAGAAAGAAGAGGTAGAGAGAGATAGAGAACGAGAGAGAGAGAGAGGGGGAGAGGTATGCAAATATTTGATATCCTCGAATGAACGTTTCTTTTTTGGATAAAAAGGAAAGATTGTAAAAGAAAACATGTTTAGAAGAAAGAAAAACTTTTATTTTGAAGAAAACATCTCGCTTTTCATCATTTATCTTTTCTTTTGCTTCGTTTTCTTCATTCATTCTTATTTTTTAATGTTCGCCTCTTATGAGATGAAAATATTCCTTTTCTCCCATAATACTTTTATTATAAAATACAAAAAAAAATGAGAAGAAGCAGAAGCAGAAAGAAGAGACAACGAAGAAGGATTTTCGTCTTCTCCTGAACTCAATGAGCTTCTTTCCTTAGTCACGAAATCAGCTGTCCGTTTTCTTTCGTTTTCTTTCCTCCATCAACGACCAAATTTGGTTAAAGCCTGAATTCAGGCATTCCTTCTTTTTATTTCGTTCAAACGACAGACGATCGACTGCTAAAGAGTCGAACAACTTTTTTTCTCTCTGTTTCCAATAAAAAAAGAAAGGAAAGCAAGAAAAAGACGAAACGATGGATGACTTGCATACCCATTGAGCTTCGATAAATCTATGCTTTATTCCAAAATTTTGTGACCTCTTACCTTGTAGAATAGCTTTCGGCTGTGACGTAAGCACAAAAAAGTATTCAAAAAGGAAATTTTCGTGTTTGCAAAAACACCAAACGTCTGAAGATGAAAAGGAAGAAAAATGTGATTAAGCTTCAAATTGACTTATCAGCTCGAATGTTTCCATGACGCCCACATAAAACTTCTTTAATGGTCATTTTCAAGCAAAAGCAGCAAGGGGAGAGTAAGAGAGATAGAGAGAGAGAGAGCTCAAAAAACAAATAGGATGAGTTGCTGGCTGGAGTTTCAAAAAATCGGATAAACGCATGTCTCGTTTTTCTTGAATCTGATCCGTTCATTCCCACGTTTTTTGCGTCACAGCAACCATTTGGAAGCTTTTTGTTGGGTTGTCGAAAAGAGCAATGGAATATCCAATGTCGCCTTTCTATTCAAAGCTTAAACCTCACCTTCACCTAATTTCATGTTTGAAATTCAAATGGGCAGAAGCATTTCTAGCTTAACGTAATTTACACTTCTGCGCCAAGATAGAAAACGAATTTTGAACATTAGAAGACAGAAGCGACGATTTTCATGAAAGTGCAGCTAGTGAGAGCATATATGATAGAATTTGAATAAGATAAATATAGTTTCGTGAAAACTGATACACTTACTTAGCTCCATAATCGTTATCTTTGCATCTGAGAATGATATCATTCATTGAAAGTTTTTTTTTTGAATAAGTTTAGAAGTTCAAAGATGGAAATGAGATGAACCAGTCTCGAGGGGGATTGTGAGCTTTTCCAGCTTACAAATCATCATTTTTTGAGGTTTATCCGATATATCTAGTCGATGAACAAAGAACTTTTTGATTCATGAGCTTCTTTTATGATTTCGAAATGTGCTTCAACAGATGATTGAGAGAAGAAAAATTGTGCATTCTTATTGAAAATCACAAATGGAGTTAAAGATAGCCTTCATGCTCCAAATGAGCTTGGTTAATTTTGTTTTTTATTTAGTCTCTTCCTTTTTCTTTTTTTCATCAAAACACAACTTGTCTGATTGAAATTCCGGCTCAATCTTGATCTGAAGCCATTTTTCTTGACCTGAAATGCTAGATTCTTCAACGTCGTTGACGTCAGAGAGGGCTTAAGCTTGGGAGCAATTTAATTCTCAAAAACCATCGGAATAGATTGGCGAACAATGAAAATGAAAAAAATGAGAAATTTTTCGAATAATTCAAAAATTTTTTTCAGGTCTCAATGGGTGCTTTAGCTGAGAAAACATTAATTGGAATCCGAGCAGATATCTCAAAAACGCTGCAGGTGAGAAGATAAGATATGAGTGAATAAACGTTGAACATTCATTTAAGACATTCGGAATTCCTGCAGAAGAAGCCGATAAAATTGTTGTTCATGGAGTACCAGAAGCGAGCAGTGGCTTAACAGCTCCTGTCTGCGATCTTATTGGTTTGTTTACTGAACTGCGTGAAATGGGCATCAAACTGGCCTTGTGCACAGCTGACAGCAGGTATTTACATATTTTGTGAATTTTCAACTAAATAATCAAATTAAATTATAGACGAGCAACGGAAGAACAAATGGAAGTCTTGGGAATCTCAAAAATGCTCGATGATGTTGTTTGTGGAAACGATGCTGGAATAATTCCCAAGCCATCCCCACATTGTGCGATGCAAATCTGCAAACGAATCGGAGTTCAATTGAATGTAAACTTTAATATAATATTTTCCCATTTTTAAACTTTAACTCTTATAGGAAGCTATTATTGTTGGTGACACCATTGCTGACTTGAAAATGGGACGTCTTGCCGGACTACGGGCAAGCGTTGCCGTCTTGAGTGGAGTTGGAAATCGTGAAACTCTCTCTGAATTCTCTGATTATTTTGTAAGTTTTTCAAAGTATTATGAATTATATATTATAATCTTTCGCCTTTTGCAGATTGAAGATGTCGGAGAGCTTCCATCACTTATCAGTGACCAAATGAACGAAGACACCAAAAGAGGATAATTTCTATTCAAATTAAAACAATCATGGCTTACTTCACTTTTGATATTGAAAGTATTTCACACTTTTTTCGTAAACTTTCTGAAAAAGTGTGAAAGTCACAAGTCATTCTATATTCTTTGGGATCGTATGGGGGTTGTTTCATCTTTAAATTATTCTACGCAATACAATATTGTTGTCAAATTCTCAATGAGAATCCTCTTTTGTGTTCAAAATGCTTTTTACCATGTGCCATATTCCAATCATAACTTGCCGATCTCAAGTTTCATCTCAAGTTCAACTTGTTTTTAATTTGTTGATCTCTCTTATTCATTCCAACGTTCAAGAAATCTGGTCAAATGCAATTTACAAGGCAATATATTGTACAAATTTCTAAATAAATATAATTTTAAATAGTACCATCGTTTATGTTGGTGTAAAACTGAAAGAGACGGAAGTTGGCTCAACTTTCATAGATTACCCCATGAGATCAAAACTAAGAACAGCAGTTCCTCGTTCGAGAAGAACAACTTGAAAAGTACTTTTCATTGCTTCCTCCCTTGTGGTTGTGGCTTCCATTCTTCTCGGAAGATTTTGGAAAGCTGTTTTCCGGATCTATGTTTCAATAATCTTACGAAGATCACTTTGCTACAGAAGCTCTCTGATTTCCTGGACTCCGATATCCGTTCTTATTGTTTGTCTGGTAACAATTTGTAGCCAAGTTAATACAAAAACTGTTTTGCTGAAAAAAAACGGAGAAGGAAATTCGGAATATTCATCCTGTCCAAGCTGATAATCGGCTAAATCAGATGTTCGACAGAAAAACTCAAATAAATTTTGGAATTTGCATCATTTCTTCATGAATACTAAGCGTTTCCATAGACCGCTTACTGCAATCAACGGTCAAACTATGAAATGTTTCAATTTCAATCATAAACTGCTGAACACCTAGTGATCTTTCTCTCATGCACAACCGATCCATAAATGATGCTGGTGAAGAATGAAGTAAAGCAGCACTTCATTCGGAAAATATCGAGATAGTTAGCGGTTGCTTATTACCTCAGTGAAAAAGCTTATGAAACAAGTCTGTTTTCACGAAATAAAATGATTCAATTGTAAAAAATATTTTAATAATGTTTAGTATAAAGGAAATTTACAGTTCTACAGATGTTTGACTTCAACAGCAGATTAGCATGCAAACCTCAGTTCAAAAAAACGAGAAAAAAGGGCGAAAAACCTAAGAAATGCTGTGATTAAAATAAAATATTATAGCAAAACTCTAGAATACCTGTCCATCAATTATGGCATAAATTAATTTATATAATTTTACAACTTTAATCTTATAATGTTAAATCTTTCCTGCCCAGTCTCGTATTGTACAGTTATGTGGGAATTAGTAATTGGAGCTGGGATACTCATATGTTGAGCAGCAAGCTCTGCGGCGTGGCTTTCAGTGAATGTCGTCAGACAGTTAGCCGAAACAGTTAATATTAAAGATGTGGCCATGTCTGAAATTGATATCCATTAAGCACTCTTAAAAACTTTCTATCTACCTGGATTTCCCCATCCTTTCTTAGCTTCTAGCCATCCTTCTAAAACGTACACGGGCAAGTCTTCACTAGCCAAAATGTAATTTTTGGATCTTCAAAATAACGAAGATAAAAATGGAGCTTAAGCAATAATGAAAAACCTGATAGAATGGAAATAATTACAAGCTTCATCAAGATTTTTCAGTGAGCATTTTGATCCGTTGTGAGGAACAGTTGCTAATTCGAAATAGCGTTCCTTTTTCAAATGAGGGCCATTTCCTTAAATTTAATGAACTCAATTAGTTTTCTGAGATATAATTACCTCTATTGGTAACTGTCCAATATTGACGAACGACATTTGTGGCGTCAAAGACATTAATGAGATTGGGGTCTGAGGATTTGAGAGAATCGTTATCAACACGTTCAGAATCTGCGGCAACTGTCTCGAGAATATCACCCATGATAGGATCAGGCTGTAAAATAGAGTTTGACAAAAAAACGGAAAAATAATCAACCTTCTCATATACTACTTCATGATCGTCGGATTCGGCGACAACACTAGATCTTGATTGCATTGGCAACATCTGAGTGAGAAGTAAGAATATGATGGTGATAGAATGAGTATTACCTTATCAACGTTCGAAGCATCTTTTTTCGATTCATCAGTAGAAACCTTTTCCTAAGCACAAACATCAACATCTAACTGATATGTAAAACTCACAGTTTCGGAAGATTGATCATTTTCCTCACTCGCAAGATGTGAAGCAGCGTTTTGCATACCCTCCATCATTGAGTGAGCCAAAGCGGTGGCGATTTCAGTAGGAGCAGAATCAATTAAATGTTGACTTATTTTTCTGGTTTGTTCTTCAATAGTCAAGTTATCGAGTGAAAGTCCAGTATCCATTTCATTTCGAGTTTGGTGACTGTCAGAGTGATCTTTCTCATGCTCATTCTGAACGACGGATGATTCATCGTTAGTAGAAGCTGGGTCAGATACAAGAGAAGCTTGAGCTTTCTCTATTGCTTCTTTCACCGTTTGACGGCTGAGCTCTTCAAGAAGATCTTCATTAACCTAGAAGAGCATTTTATGAGAATAGCTAGCTTCATGCAAAGTCTTACTTGTGTTGTTTGACCGTCATTACCCATTTGCTCCAACTGATCGGTAAGTGTGTCAGTGTCCATACTGATTCGACGCAGTACAGAGGGTTCTTCAATATGATCCAACAAGCCATCAGCATCAGGGATTTGAGGAATCTAAATTACCAGATTTAAACCATGTTAAAGTTCCTAATCATTTGTTTCCTTGTTAACTTAAGCAACCCGTTTCCAATTTATCAAAACCAGAATAACTTCAAAAGATGTATGACTAACCAAAATTGTAGCACCGTTAATTGTAGAATCAGCAACAATGGCTTCGTTATGAGGATCAGCAAAAGAAGTTATTCCAAGAGTGTCATTGAACATAGAGGTACTTCTGATATCAGAAATATCCATAGGATTCTTGTAACTGTTCGATGCACTGGTGGAATCTACAGTGTCCTCCCGGATTGGGTCGAAATCTCTCACATTAGGAGTGTCATTGAAATCGAGCAAAGTGTGTGATTCAACTTCCGTTGAAGAGACAACTGGCTCAGAATCTATGGTAGCCCCGGATTCTTCAGGAGCAGGAGTGATGTCTTTCTGTTTAACCGATATTATTTCCACAATTTCAGAATCATTCGATGATTCCAACACATCCAGAAGAGTGATTGAGGATTCATCAGCTACTTCTTTAGCCTCTACTTCCTGTACTTCGGGAGTAGCACTCTTTTCCTTAGTGAAAGTTTCAGAGGAAATTGGTGCTACATGAGATGCTTCGCTATCAAGCTCGATAATTGTCGTTTCGAGCTCATCAGAGGTTTTGTCCTTCTCGAAAACAGCCCCTTCAGCGATATCCTTCTCAGTTTCAAATGAGTTGAGAGAAGGAACTTCTGAATGTTGAGTATGAGAAGCAATTTCATTCACTTGATTAGAAATGGCTTGTTCATCGCAGAGTAATGAAGGGTTTTCCGAAACTTCCTTGTTCATCTACAACATTTTAGATAAAAACAAAAAATTTAGTGTTGCGTGTTAGATTTGTTAAGAAAGCCAAATGTTAGTTAACATGCATTAATTAATACTCACTGCATAGTTAGTCGATAACATATTTTCTTCATTAATATCAGTTGGTGAAAATGAACCTTTGTTTAAGCCCTTCGATCCCTAATGACACAACGTTGTATATGACAATTACTACTTGAAAAACAATAACAATTGTTTTTGACAAACCATGTTAGTTAGCATCCTATTTTCGTCTTTTTCATTTAACACTACTCTAGATTCATCAACAGTGTCCTCGATCGTTATATACTCACCAACGAAAACAATCGAATCCTGTTAATAAGTAATACACACATAGAGAATGTTACTTCCACCAAACGTCCCTCTGGTTTACTGTGAGTGTTCAATGTTAGAAACACAAATCAAAGACACTTATTCCCAAACCAAGTCAAAGCAAACTCAGGTAGTGTTTATAAGAAAATTAACCCACCTCAACTGATTCAGGAGCTGCTTTTTTCACATTTGAAGTCGTGGACGTTTTTGCTTGAGCAGGTCCTGCCCGTGAAGCAGCAGAAGTTGCAACATTGGATCTTGCAGGTGGGTGTGAAGCCTTGGGTGCAGTTGCACGTGTAAGCTTTCCTGGTACTGTCGAAGATGATGGCACTCGTGCAGTTGCAGTTTTAGTGGTAGTTGAAGCAGTACTAGGTGGACTTAACAAATACAACAATTGAGACATAAAACTCCAGAAGAATTAACAAACCCTGTCTTTTTAACTGTTGTTCGGCTTGCGGTAGAGCTAGCAGGAGTAGTAGTTGGTTTGGTAGTAGGCTTAGTAGTAGTGCTTGGTCTAGAAGCTGAAAAAAGCAAGAAAATTTACTTTAATAACCCTGCTTAACTTACGAGGAAGTGTTGAACGTGCAGAAAGACGAGATGAAGGATTAGCAGCTGATGGTGTTGAAGTCTGGAATTAGAAAATGGATAATTGAAACTTCGAAGACAAGCTATGAATACAACCGGTATCGTTGTGAAAAAACGTCAAAATGAATTTCTTCATAACAAAACGGAAAATTCAAACGCATACCTTAGAAGCAGGGCGGGATGAAGACGTAGATAAGTTTGGAGAACGCCGGGCTGCTGATAGGGTGGATGTTGATGTGCGAGTTGGAGGAGCTTTAGTAGTGGCTGTAGATGTTCTAGCAGCCGGACCAGTAGAGGTTCTAGCAGTAGGTCGGGTAGCAGCAGCAGCGGCATCAGCTCTTTTTTTAGCTTCAATCTTGTCTTTCAATGAGAAAGGTGTTGCAGTTGATCCGATGGCTTTTACTTTGGATACACCAGAAGCAATAGGAGCTTCAATCATTGATGCTGGTGTTACTACTTCTCGTGTTATTACATTTAAGGAACTAGCCTTCTCAAGAGCTTGAATGATACGATCATAAGGAGCGTTTCCTATACAAATTGAATGAATTAATGCAATCAAGGGAGTAACGTACCACTATATAGAACTCTTTTGACAGGCTCATTGAATTTGCTTGACCAAACGAGTACAAAGATTAATCCATGTTGATTAGAAACCTTAATTAGTAAAAACAATTACAGAAAGTTTGAAGACAAAGAAAATACTCGATGCAAATCAACTTCTGATCCGTTTGTAAGGGCTTTATCAAGAGCGTCTAAAGATTCCTTGCGTGCTCCATCTAATACATGAATTTTAACAGAACTATGTCCTCTCTGGATTAAACAAGTATAATGTCAAGAGTAAAAATATGAAAATACCTTATCTATAAGAACAGGCTCGTACTTTGGATTGAAACGGAGTTTAGTTTCAGCGTTTTCGTTAGCTTTTTGAATTTTATGAGCCAAGTTTTGAGCGCTTCCATCAAGACCGGCTTCTTTAAGGTTAGGTAGAGCAGAGTATGTGATGACATCCTTCTTGAAAAAAAATGTTATAAAAAAAGGTAAGATGAACTAACGTACCTCAACCTGCTCAGATATACAACCGAGACTGGCTTCGTTGACATTTGAGAGAATAGCTTCACTTACCTGAAATGATAAATTCTAAAAGCTGAAGTAGACATTTCAAAATACTTTGTTAACGTTTTTTACAAAACTACGTGCGGTACTACAACCATCAATTAACACATACGTTCCGGTATAATCCAGGAGAATAGAATCTGATTAGAAATGTTTTTATGATAGGGATCAATGGAATGATATCATACCTGGACCAAAGACATAGGCTTGTGGTTCATCTCCAGCTGGAATACTTGCCATATTCGGCTTTGTTTCAACGGTCATTTCTGTTGATGACATAGTATTTGAACAATAAAAAATTTGAAAAAAGAAAGAAAAAAGATAAAAGTAGGCGCGTTTCTAACAGTTTCAATACCGTCAGAGAAAATATGAATTGGAAGAACAAAGTACAGAAAAAAAGATATAAATCGATATACTTATCAATGATGATGATGAAAAAATGACATGAGGAAGAGTATGTTTTTCATATTTGGATATGTAATGGAGGACAGGTTTCTCTATAAAGAGAAACAGAGAGAGATTTGTTAAGAGGAGCTGAAAGAGAAGAGAAATGACATGACAAACAACCGTCCTCGGTCCTACAATCAACGGATTAAACATGACCAACATTGACCGAATATGGTGAGCGGGGAAGAGAGAAGCATTCGAAACACATAAAAAGTGTGGTAGAAGACCAGCTGTCAGAAAGCTTTTCCAGAGGTCAAATGGTTAAGCTCAATGGAGAGAGATGAGCTTCTGCCGTCTGTTATATTGGAAGCGTTTGATGTTGTAAATGTCTAGAGTTACTGAGGAGGAAAAAAGAAGAGAATAAACAAGAAAAAAAAGTTTTTTTTGTCAATCAAACGAATATTTCAGAAGAGAAAGTAGATGTGGCAAGTTTCTTGAATATTTTCGTCCAGATGGTTAGATGGAAGAAGAAGCTCTGCAAGTGCAAAACATGCTCCACTCTTCTTTCTGTTTCCCTCCTTCTCTTCGAATCAATAAAACGGGTGATAAAAAAGAGTCAGTTCGAGGAGATTTTATAACTTTTTTCTCAGTTGTGAGTGAGATAGTTTTAAAAGAAATGTGAGAAGAAGACCATAAAAAGAATGTAAAAAATAATTTATAAAATCAATGAAATGTCTTCTTCCTGGAGGCAGAATAAGGAACGCAAGAGAGGGACAGGATAATGAAGAGAGTTTTGAACTAAAGAGAATGAGAGACGGAGGTTAAGAGAGAGAGAGAGAATCAAATAGAGAGATGATGAAGAGGATGAAAAAGAGAGAGAGAGAAAGAGAGAGAGAAATTCGTTTAATACAATTTGGATGATGAGAAGAGACCGTTTTAAGCCAATGATGACAATCTCAATGAGTAAAAGCGCTATAGAGAGGTTTCGGGATAAAACCAAATAAGGAGAGAATGTTTTTTTTTGTCTAAAATTTCTCTGTTTCTGTCATTTCACAACATTATGTCTGACCGTCTTATTCTCGTCTTTTTTTTTTGAGAAAAAAAAGGCTTTCGTCAACTTCGACCGCATCGTCTATGCTCTTTTTTTCTTTTTCATTACTTCTCCTACCACTATCCTTCTTGAACACATTCTTTCTCTCCATCTCTAACAAGATTTTTCTGGTGTTCTCTCTTTTTGTGTCTCGATATGTTCAATGCTGTTTATTCGTTTTGAATGACAGTGAGGTTGAAAGGACATAGCGAAACATGAAAAATCTCGAAAACTTTTCTCTCTTTCTTCAACTCTCTCTTACACATTTATACTTGTTGTTTCTAATAACAATACAACTGTTAAGCAAACGATTCCTTTTATGGTGAAGAATGGGAAAAAGAGAACATCGGCAGCAGCAAAAAATCATCAAAAGAGATGAGAGAGGGTGTTGAGTCAATGGGGACAAGCAGCTGGCCCTCTTCAATGCTTTTCTCCGTCAGAACATCTCCTGAGCTCTTTTCTGGTCATATCTCTCTCTCTTTCACTTCCTCACTCTCATTCTCTTCTTAATTCTACTTTCTCTTACGGGTACAATGCTTAAATATAAAACCAAAAAAAAAATCCGAATAAACTGAAGCAAAAGCATGTTGTCAAGGCAACACATGAGTGTACAACACAAAAACTAAAACAGATGAACGTCCAACAGGAGGAAATTTTCATTGAAATTTATTAAAAGGAGAATAAACAACCGTTCGTGTGTCAACATTAACTCAAAATGAACTTTTCTTCTTCTTCAACACAATTTTCTTATGAGAACAAAACATTTTAATTTCGATCAATATGCTAATTTTAAAAATGAATTCATCTTTATATTTGGTGAACAAGCTCATTTAGCCAATATTGAATGAACAGAAAATTTGGTCAAATCAATTGAATGGACTGCTGTACCAGCTGGTCATCGAATAGATGAGTGGACAGCAATGACAAGGAATGAGAACAAAGAGAGAGACTGAAATTTTATAAAGAGAATGTGAGAGAATACGACAAGCAGGCAGAGAATCGTACACCTTCCTACCCACTCCAGAAAGAGAGTGAAAGAGAGAGAGAGAGAGAGAGTTGATAACTAATTTATTCAACAAAAAAAGAAAACTCCTTCATATCTCCAATCTCTCGTTCCACTCACTCAAAGACGACACTCTGATAAGTATATATATCTATTCTTTCCCATAATTAACTATATAATATGGTTACTTTAATATGACAAAATAAAAAAGAAGAAAGTCATCAGATCAGTCACAGCCGAGTGAGCTGACCTCTAATTGATGGTCATAGATCGCCGAAGATTCTTAGTCGATAACCCTGTCAGTCTATTGAGAAAGAAACATCTTGAGTATAAATGATTTGAACAGCTACAAATGGTCATTTTATGTGCTCAAATGAAAGAAATGCTTAAATAGCTGTCTATATCTATTGTAAAACACAAATTTTCATCTTTTTTTTTTGAATTTTACAATATTTAATCAAAACGGCTTGTCGCGCTTTCTCTCACACACTCACTCACTCCATACTACTCTCATACTTCCATTTTGACTTTCTTTTGAGAATTTTTGAGAGAAAAAAAAATTATTCATGTTTTTCAGTAAATAAGCATGAGAATCAATATAAGTCATCTATGAAATGATAAAAGAATGAGTGAGTGACTTCGAATGAAATGAGACTTCTCTCCTTCTATTGAATCATATGGGATTTGTGGGCTAAAAAAAGAGAAAAAAAATATTTGAAACTTTATTTTTTTTTTTCGAATTTATGACACTATTGACGACAAAACAATCAATATTATGAAGAGAGAAACTATATTACAACCATATAGTCATAGAGAGAGAGTGTGTGTATACATCTATGAGGGTTGATAGAGAAAGAGAGAAGAAGGTTTGAAGATATTTAAAGAAAGAGAGAAAGATGAGGTAAGAAGGCGAGTAGGCGTTTGAGATAAAGCCATGAGAGTGAATGTTTTCGTATCTCATCCACTAAATTGAATGAAATAGAATTTCCATGTAATCATATGAAAGTATCTTAAACAATCCAGTTATCAGCTATTGATTTTCAATAACCGACCAAAAAAAATATTAAATTTTGATAATGTTATGTGATAAGGGTGTAATGAGGGGGAAGGAGAGCTGCCTGAGGCTACCATCGGAAGAGGAAACAACCAGAAGGTGGGAGAGAAAGAGAGAAAGAGAGAGGGAGAGAGTAAATGATGAGGAAGAAGCAAATATATTCTCATGAGTTCATCTGGTATGTTCAGGGTTATATGAGTATAACATGAAAATGGCGATATGTCAACTTATAAGTCTTAAGTACAATTTATGGACTCTCGCATGTCGTTGTCCAAAAAAAACCTTCTCACTGCTTTCACAACTTCCTTTCCCTTCAACTCTAATCAATTCATTTGTCGTCCAAATACTTCTTTTTTCAGCTTCCGCTTAATAACTTAAGTTAAGACCATACCAATGACTGAAATCACATTTGGCTCTTCATCCAATTGTCTGCTTAGACATCCAAAATGGACTCTGAAGATGAACTTGTATCAATTAGAATAAGAGAAGAAGAAGACGCTTAAGCAGATAGGAGAAACTAGCATTAAGGAGAAAAAACTTTGAAAGGAGAAAAAGAAAACAAACAAAGGTATGAAGCCAAAGATTATGAATAAGTAATTAGTGGAATTGTTTAGAAGAGGGAAGGCATGATAAACAAATCCGTCTTTATTTAGTGTTCGTTTATCATCCAGCTTCTTCTTCCTCCTTCTTTCCGACGGCTCAGACAATATATGAAAAACTTTGCCTTTTTTCTTTCTTTGACCCCCCACCTCCCTCTACTTCAATGTGAATGAACAATCCAGTTTGTTCTAAACCATATGAATTGAACGTTAATAAGAGAACGAAGCCGAATGAGGAAAGAGACAAAAAAAAAGAAGAAAAAGTTTGCTTTCTAAATGAGAACTAAGCGTTGTAGTTGTTCCTCTCTCTCTCACTGTTGGTTAAGACATGTTTCGCGTGTGCCTTGTCATTAGCATATTCCATTCTATTTGTAATAAAATAAAAATATTTATATCATATACGTATATATATAATACATATAGTTAGTAAATGTTGTAATAATAAGAAGTAAACGTTTAAATCTCCTTTTTCTCGTTCAAAACTGCATTATCGTTCATATCATGTTGTCGTCAGTCAGAGCATCTAGCCATCCGACCATTACACATACCACAAAAATCTTTTTTTTTTCTTTTTTTTCTTCAATTTTTTTATTTTTTATTTTTCTTCACAAATTCAATAGAAATCTATTCGTTGACAACGTAAATATTCTGAATTCGAATGGACGAAGAGAATGCGATGAGAAAGAAACGAATTTTCCTTTTAAAATAAATTTTAATTGCAACCACACCAAAAGAATTGAAGCAATTAATTTCAAAAAACAACCATCCTCAATCATATCTTTAATCATTTTCATTTCTTTTGTGTCAAATTCTTGAACATGGAAACACGTTTCATGTTTCCTTTTTTTCAGCTGCAAATTTGCATAAAGCCTTCCTAAACATACAAACCTTTTGCTTCTTCTCCTTTTTTTTTTCTTTTCCTTTTCTTTTTTTTACTTCGTTTGACATGCTTCTGTCGTTCACGTGTAATACACGTGTGCAGACGACAAATATTCAAACCGAATTTTTGTGAAGCAGATTGAACATCCTTTTCAGCAGCAAAAACCTAATTGACGGCAAGTTTCTGCACGTTCTTCATGACGTCACACATGCTTTCTGAGATCTCCTAAAGATATACATATATTGTAAATT